TTTTTATTTATAATTTTCATTCAGTATTTGATTATATTAAAACAGAGCGAAGTGTATTTTTTTAATTCGGTTTTAAAATGTTTCTTCTAGAAAAATATCTCAAGAAATTTTTCCCGGTCCTTTAAATAATAAATTTTCAAAGTAATTTAAAAGCAAAAATTAAAAAAAATTTAAAAAAAATTTTTTTTTTTTATATAAAAGTTAGAAAGGAAAAATCTTGCTTTAGAAATGACAGAACATTTTGTTGAAATGTTCAAATAAGTTTGACTAATTCAATCAAAAAGTCATCTACCTAAAATCATATCTTTTAACAGACTGAAATTTTTTAAAACTCTTTTTTTATTTATTTCATTTTTTTTTAATGTTCATATTTTGAATATCTAGGAAAAAACTTGAAAAAAAATCATTTGAAAAGACTATAAAAAAAAATCTTAAATATAACAGGATTTTAAATAATCTTTATTCTTAAAAAAAGGAAATTTTTTCAGTCCATTTTTTTTTAAAACTAATTTAATGAAATGTAATTCAAGATATTTAATCGTCCTTTATTTGTTTTTTTCAATGCAGTTTAAACAATTTTTTAATATAGTCTTTCAAAAAAAGGTTGTCCAAAATAAAGTATATAAATATAGGTTTTAATTTCTTTTTAATAAATGAAATTCAAAAAAAAAAAAGAATGTTATCATCTATCTATTTTTCTATCTATTTATCCATTGCTTATATTTTTCATCATATATATTATCTATATATATATTTTTATCTATCTATCTGAAACTTGTTTCCTTCAAATCAATTTTTATATATCTATTGGCTTATTATATATATATTTTATATTTATTAAAAGTTTATTTTGTTATATGTATATATATCTATTAAACTGTTTCTCATCTTATATACAATCAATTTATCTATATGTTAAAGAAAAAATTTCAAAATCAAAAAAGATGTATTCCTTCCGTTCCCATTTTCCATTTGGAAGTGTTATTAAGTGAAAAAAATATTTTGAATTGTAAATGGGTAAAATAATTTCCTCTCAAATCCAAATTTTTTTATCTTAAAATAAAATATATTATGTTTCTGAATATAATTCCTTTCTTTTGTATTTAAGCTTTTTGTGTCTTAAAATGGCTTTTAATTTGGATGGGATTAAATGCTACTCACATCGAAGAAATTATTGAAATTATTTGATTTGAAATATTTAACCTAACCGTAAAGAACTATAGAATTTGTTCCAAAAAAAAGTTCCTTCAGAAAGAAATGAAAATCTACCTATCATTTCGTAAAAAAATAAAATTGAATTTTTTTTTTTTTAAACTGATAAAAAAGAATTTTCTTTAAATTGTGTTTATGAAAAATGAAAGAAAAATTTTCATTTTTAGAAGAAAGGCTCTCTTTGATTTGACAAAAAAAGAAATGCAATGATCTTCAATATTTAAAAATTATGTTCTTTTAATTAGTGGTGAAGAAACCCAAATTTTTTTAATCATATTTGTTATCTCTTTTTTTTCAGGAATTTTCAAAATTCTCTCATTCTTTATTCCCCCTTAAGAAAATTTTATTTTCATGGCATTATCACCTTTTTTTAAAAAATGATTAACAAAAATATGTGAAAAATTATTAAAAAAATAAAATTATTTTTTTTTTTAAAGTTTTAAAATAAAAAAAAAATAATTGTAAAAAAAAGTTAAAATGCGATAAAAAAGAAAAACGCTATGTGTTCTTTTTCATTTGATTCAGTGATTTCAATGAAAAAAAAAATAACGAAGCTATATTCTTTTTTCAGATGATGTAAAATTAAATATAATGCGTCAATGATTGCATTTCATCCTATAAAAACGTAAGAAAAAGAAAAAAAGATAAAATGTTGAAAAAATAATTTAAAAATATTAACGGTTGGAATTATTTTTAAAAAGGTAAATATATTTAAAGAAAATAATTTCTACTAAGAATAAATAAAAGGCTAGAAAAGTGAAAAGGAAAGAAAACGATTAATCCTCAGAAAAAAAAGACAAAAAAATATGAAATATATAAAAGAAAAAATTATTTCTTTCATAAAATTTTTAAAGGATATTATTTAATTTTTAAGAGAATTGAATGTTAGAATAGAACAGGATTAATTCTTGTTCATTTTCTGGTTTATTTTTGCAACAAAGAAATAATATAAATATTAAAATGTATAATTAAAGTATGTATTTAATTTTTGAAAAAGAAATTGTTTCATGAATTTCTGCAAAAAAGGCAATAAAGCCAAAGGATGCAAGGAGAAAAATTCGTGAATACAAAAAAAAAGTTCAAATTCAAAGAATAGTATTCAAGAGACAGAAGATGAGAAATAAATTTTTTTTTAAAAAATCACAAAGATCTGAAAAATTTTCTGGAAAAAAATTGAAAAAAGAAGAAATTTTTTTAAATTTTACTAAATCGAGAAACATAAAAGAAAAATATAAATTTGATATCAAACAAAAAAAAGAAAGGGAAATTTTGAAATTCTTTTCCAAAAGAAAAAAAAACATTAAATATAATAAAGAGAAAATAATAAAAAGAACAAAATTAAAAAGAATTCTTTCCATTCAATTGAACAAAAAATTTAAAAAGTTCAAGATCAAATTTTTTAAAAAAGAAATAAAGAAATAAAGAAAAGAAAGAAAGAAATGAAGAAAGAAAGAAAGAAATTTTTTTTATAAAAATATAAGTATATATATATAAATAAAAAATAAAAAAAGAACGAAAAAGAAATTTTAAAATAAAGTTAAGAAGATGAAGAAAGAAAATTTAAAGAAAGAAAAAAAGAAAAGAAAGAAAGAAAGGAAAAAAGAAAAAAAAAGAAAGAAAGAAAGAAAGAAAGAAAAAAAATTAAGAAAAAGAAAAATAAAGGGAAAAAAAAGAAAGAAAAAAAAAAGAAAGAAAGAAAAGAAAAGAAAGAAAGAAAAGAAAAGAAAAAAAAGAGAAAGAAAGAAAGAAAGAAAGAAAAGGAAAGAAAGAAAGAAAAGAAATTATGAAAGAATAGAAAAAAGAAAGAAAGAAAGAAAGAAAGAAAGAAAGAAAGAAAGAAAGAAAGAAAGAAATATGGAAATAAAGTTAAGAAAAAAGAAAAAAGAAAGAAAGAAATAAAAAAGAAAAAAAAAATTTTGAAATAAAAGTTTATATTTAAAGAAAGAAAGAAAAAAAGAAAGAAAAAAAAAAAAATGAAAAATAAAGAAATAAAGAGAAAAGAAAAAAAGAAAGAAAGAAAGAAAGAAATAAAAAAGAAAGAAAGAAAGAAAGAAAGAAAAAAAAGAAAGAAAAGAAAGAAAGAAAAAGAAAGAAAAGAAAAATGGAAATAAAATTATGAAAAAAAAAGAAAGAAAGAAAGAAAGAAAGAAAGAAAGAAAGAAAAAAATAAAGAAAAGAAAGTTATAAAATAAAGAAAAAAAAAAAAGAAAAAAGAAAAGAAAAGAAATTATGGAAATAAAGTTATGAAGAAAGAAAAAAAAAAGAAAGAAAGAAAGAAAGAAAGAAAAAATTTTTAAAGAAAAGAAATTAATAAAATAAAGTTAGGAAGAAAGAAAAAAGAAAGAAAGAAATTATGGAAATAAGGTTAAGAAGAAAAAAAGAAAGAAAGAAAGAAAGAAAAAAAAGAAAAATGGAAATAAAAAAAAGAAAGAAAAGAAAGAAAGAAAAAAAATATAAATGCGACATGACAAGAAAAGAAAAAAGAACGAAAATATTACTGTATAAAATTTTGCAGTTAACCATTTCAAAATATCAAAAAACGTAAAATTAAAAAAAATATAAAAACAACAAAGCCTATTCAAAGAATTGTTCGAATCTGCCAAATAAAGGGTTCTAAATCAAATTCATCTAAAAAAAAAAAGTGGATAAAAAAATGGATGATTCCAAAAAACTTTTATTCTTTTGCTCAAATAATTTGAAAATGTCCTTTTACATCGGACTTGAGTAACTGATAATGTGCAATGACTTTAATAAAAAGAAATTATTTTTTTTATTACTAAAAAAGTTTTCTGTGTTTGTTTATTGTATTTTATTTGATATAGGTGGCGGGGAGACTTTATCAGGAGCCCATTTAGCATCGAGCAAGATGAAACCCTGGACAGTGCGGATCAAAAAGATAAAAATAAAAACTAGATGAAAGTGTTGCCCATTTGAATCAATCCACAACAAAAAAAAAAAAAAATTGAAAGTTTTTAAAATAAAAATTAAAAATATTCTTATTTTCATTTCAGGTTTTAAAATTATGTAAATTTCTTTTGAACAAAAGAAAGAAAGAATGTAGTTTGAAAAGAAAGATGAAAAAAATATGATTTATTCTGTAAGAAAATTTAGAGACATATAAAAAAAGAAAAAGAGGAAAAGTGTAAGTGTTACGTAGAAAGAAGAAAATGGGTGAATCAAAGAACGAAATCTCCTTCAAGCAATTTAAAACAAGTGTCGTATGTTGCCAATTTCTCTCTCTCTCTCTCTCTTAAAGAAAAAAAAGTCCGTCTTATTTTGAAAAAGAAAAAGAAATATTTCAAAGATAAATGTTCCAATAAATTTTTTTTTATTGTCGGTTTTTTCGCTAAAAGAAAAAAAAAGAAAAAAAATTAAATATTTATTTTAAAGGATTCATTTGTTAACCGAAAACGATGCGCGTATCCTCCGACTCAGAAACCATTTTGGTCAAAATGCTGTTTAAAGAAAATCGCAAAAAGGAACATGTCGGAATTTAAATTTTTTTTTTGCTCTTTTTTGCTTGTTGCAGAAAAAAGATCATTTCGGGAAAATAATCAATAAAAAAAAAAAAAAGAATTTATTACATGAATCGAATAAGGAAAATGTCATTATGCATGATATTAAAACTTAAAATCAATCTCAAACGTTCAAATTGGTGAAAAGATAAACTCTTTTCTTTGAAAAATATATTTCAACATGAATCGAAATGAGACATTAAAGACAGAAAGAAAGCTGAGGAATGAAAAAAGGAAGGAAAGAAAAAAATTTGAGAAAGAAAAAAAGAAAATTTAAAAAATAAAAAAGAAAGAAAAGAAATGAAAGATGAAAAAAGAAAGAAAGAAAGAAAGAAAAAAAAAAGAAAGAAAGAAAAAAAAACCAAAACTAAAAAAAGAAAGAAAGAATGAAAGAAAGAAAAAAGAAAGAAAGAATGAAAGAAAGAAAGAAAGAAAGAAAGAGAAATAAGATATTGCAAAAAAGGAAGATAGAGAGAAAGAGAAGTGAGACAAGAAAAGAAAGAAAGAATAAATGAAAGAAAGAAAGAAAAATAAGATATGACAAGAAAGAAAGCGACAAAAACGAGACATGAGAGGAAAGAAAGAAAATAAGACAAGAAAGACAGACCGAAAACTGAGACATGTAAAGAAAGAAAAAAAGAATAAAAGAAAGAAAGAAAGAAAGAAAGAAAGAAAAGAAAATACATGACAAGAAAGAAAACGAGATAAATGAGACATGAGAGGAATGAATGAAAACTGAGACATGATAAGAAAGAAAGAAAGAAAGAAAGAAAGAAAGAAAGAAAGAAAGAAAATAAGCCAAGAAAGAAAGGCAATTGATACATGACAAGAAAGAAAGAAAGAAAGAAAGAAAGAAAGAAAGAAAGAAAGAAAGAAATTGGGGAGATATTGATTAAAATAAAAAAAGGAGGCATGTTGAGAAAGAAAGAAAATATTTAGAAAGAAAAGAAAAAAAAAAGAAAGAAAGAAAAAAAAAAAAAGAAATTGGGGGAGATAATGATTAAAAAAAAAAAGGAAAAATAAAAGAAAGAAAAAATTGATATTTAAGAAAGAAAGAAAAGAAAGAAAGAAAAAAAAGAAAGAAAAAAAAGAAAGAAAGAAAGAAAGAAAGAAAGAAATTGGGAAAAATTGATTAATAAGTAGAATGAAGACATGGGGAGAAAGAAAAAAGGAAAAATGAAAGAAAGAAAGAAAGAAAAAAAAAGAAAGAAAGAAATTAAAGAAAATCTAAAAGGGGAGATATTGATTAAAAAAAAAGAATGAAGACATTTGGGAGAAAGAGGAATTGAAATTTAATAAAAAAGAAAGAAAGAAAAAAGAAAGAAAGAAAGAAAGAAAAAAGAAATTGATTAAATAAAGAAAAAAATTGGGGAGAAAAAAAAAAATATTTAAAAAGAAAGAAAGAAAGAAAGAAAGAAAGAAAGAAATTGGGGAGATAATTAAAACAAGAATGAAAGAAAGAAAAGAAGGTTATAAAAAGAAAAAAAAAAAGAAAAGAAAGAAAGAAAGAAAGAAAGAGAAAAAAAAAAGAAAGATATTACGAAAAAAGAAAGAAAAAAAAAGAAAATAAGAACAAAAAGAAAGCAAGAGAAATGAGACATGAGAGGAAAGAAAGAAAGTAAAGAAAGAAAAAAAGAATGACAACTGACACATGGCAAGAAAGAAAGAAAAAAGTAAGAAAGAAAGAGAAACGAGACATGATAAGAAAGAATTAATGAAAGAAAGATGGAAAGAAAAACGAGACAGGAAAAGAAAGAAAGAAAGAAAGTAATAAAGAAAGAAAGAAAGAAAAGATAAACTGGCAATGATAAAATTTGTAGCGAGATCGTGGATCGCCATCTACATGGCGACCGAGAGAAATATCGACTTGAAGATAAGATTTATTACGTGAATGCAATACGGTGACCTGTTGTCACTTATCCAGCAATCATTTCGATAAAATAATTAGAGAATATGATTTTTGTATGTAACAGAAAAAAAATGAAAACATTAACGAGATACAGTCTGGAGACTGAATGAAATAAAATACATTTCGAAAAAGAAAGATAGAAATAAAGAAAAAAAAAGATAGAACGAGAAATGAGACACGGCAAAAGAAAGAAAGAATGAAAGAAAGAAAGAAAGAAACGTTAAAAGAAAAGAAAAGACATTACAAGAAAGAAAGGAAAAAGAAAGAGAATGAGAAATTAAAAGGACGAATGGAAGGGAAAAGAAAGAAAAAAGGAAGAAATGAAAGAAAGAAAAAAAAGAATAAAAAAAGAAAAAAAAAAAAAAAAGGAAAAAAAAAAAAAAAAAAAAAAAGAAATATAAAAAGAAAATAAATAAAAAATAAAATAAAAAAAAAAAAAAAGAATTGAAAAAAGAAATGAAAGAAAAAAAAAAAAAAAAAAATAAAAAGAAAATGAAAGAAAAAAAAAAATTGAAAAACGAAAAGAAAGAAAGAAAAGAAAGAAAGAAAAAAAAATGAAAAATCGACACACTCAAACCAAGAGAACCGAAAAGATGAATCGAGAAAAGAAAATATTTAGTGAAAGTCCAAATGAATATAAAAACAAAACGAAACAGGCAATTTTGGGACTCTACCATTTATTGAAAAAAAAAAAAAGAAAAGAAAATAAAGAAAATGGAATGAAAAATGAAAGACACTGAAAACTGTTCTGTCATTTCAGAAAGAAAGAAAAGAATTTGAAATTATCAAAGTAATAAAGTAAGAAATAAAATAATGATTTATTGCTGTCTTTTATTTAAAAATACCTATGTTTTAGTCCGAAATAAGAATGGAAAAGCAATTTCTTTTCTGAAAATAAAAAGAAAAAAGAAAAAAAATCTCACAAATTAAATGTAATATTTTAAAAAAAGAAAAAAGAAAAAAAAAAAGAAAAAAATGATGAAAGAAAGAAAAAAAGAATTAATATAAATGTTGATATCCGATCTAATTTGTTTTTAAACGAAAGTTCATGAAACACTGATTTAAAAAGAAAATTTGTTTGCAGTCAATCCATAAACAATAAGACATCGTTTTATGTTCAGGTCGAAAAAGAATATCTATTTTAAAAGTCTATAATTAAAAAAAAAAAAAAAAAATGGAGAAAGGCAAAGAAAAGAAAAAAAAAAAAAAAGTAGAAAAAGGAAGGAAATCGGAAATGAAAAAAAAGAAAGAAAAAAAGAAATTTTTAATAGATTTCAACAAATTTTTTTCGCCGATGGCAGTGAAGATTTGGCAAAGAAATCGAAAAAAAGAAAGAATTATGTGGAAAAGATCTCGACAACGTGGAAAAGCAAAGAAAGAAAGAAAAATTTCATGATTAGAAAACAAAATAGATAAGTTTAAATAATTCAAAATTTTTCACAGTTCACGGATTCAACTTGAGAGTTGGGATAAGTGTTTTCAAAAAAAGAAACAAAAAAGACCTTTATTCACGGGTTACAAATGAATTTTAGAAAACAGGAAAAAGAAAGATAAATTGTCGTTCAAAAGAACGCAAAAATCGAAATAACAACATCTCATTTGAACAGATATATTTTCCAAATTGCAAGAAAATATCTTAAAATACTAGAGAAATTTAAGAAATAAAAAAATGCTTTTAAAAGTGAAAAAATTTTGATCTTAAAGGAAAAGCATTCTGGCAGACCAGCAGTCGTTGAAAGAAAAAAAAAAAAGGTGATTAAAAATAATTCACGTCGGAAAAAACAGGAAAAAAATAAAGACATTTCTTTGATAAAGCTGTGAAGAAATCTGTTTTAAACATGAGAAAGACATTAAATATTACGAGCTTCAAGAAAAAATCAAATGTCGAATCCAAACAAAAGAAAAATGCCAAACGATCACAAGTTAAATCAACGTCGATCTTGGTAAAAAAAAAAAAAAACCTCTAAATAAATACATTTTAAGAAAGAAAGGTGTGTTTGTGAATATGATATTGGCTTGGAATTAGAAAAAAATGAAAAAAAAAATTCCAAAAAAAAAAAGTTATTGTTGCAAAAAAAAAAAAAAAAGAAAATTAAATTCTGTTCGAAAGCAAAGAAAAATCCTGTTGGGGATCAATTCCCCCAAAAAGAAAATGATCAAGTCGTAGAAAGAAAGTTTTTCGTGAGAAAGAAAGCAAAAAAAGTGAAAGTAACCCGTCCTCCCAGAAAGAAAAGAAAGAGGATGCCAATTGTCTGAAAAGAAAGAAAGAAAAGAATTCCCTGGTTGCCAACTGGTCTGTTCCCTGTCGTCACTGTTAAAACCAGGTTTTAAAGGTTGAAATTAAGAAAACAAATGAAAGAAAGGAAGAAAAAAAAAAAAATTCCTCAAAAATTTTTCGGGTTTTTGTATCATATCGAAGAAAAAAAGAAAGAAAGAAAGAAAAAGAGTCAAAAAATTCTCTTTAATAAAAAAAGTGCTACGCACCTGGGCATTGTAAAAGAAAAATTCAGATATGGCTATAAGTCCGACCATTACTTTTTGAAAGAATTAAAAAGTTCAAGAAATGTCAACATGAATAAAAGAAAAAACAGATTTTAAGAATCATTTCTGAATGAATTTAATACCAGACATTTCTCCCCGAAGAAAAAAGAAAAGAAAAGAATGAAAAGTGTCATTATAAAATCTAAAAACAAAACAAAAAAAAAAAAAATATTTTCTGGTTTTAATTTACTTGATGAAGAATCGATTCCCGATATGATAAAAAAATCAAATAGTGTTTTCGCATATTTACAAGGCTATCGAAAGAAATATCGACATGAAAATTCGATTTACCTCTGGAATTATGAATATATGATTAAGTCCTGGAAAACTATAAATAGAATGTAAATAAATTGAAAATTGTGATTTTTTGAGGGACTATAAAGTTGGAACTTTCCATTTAATTATATATCTATTCGCCATTATTTGCAATGCCTTGCCACTTATCAACCAGCTTTTAGGTACCTTTGGATTATAATTTCGTTTTTTTTTGTCTTTGTAATTTTTACTGAAATGGTTAATTTGACTTTAGTTTTTTTAGAGAAAAATTTTTTTTTGTATTTAAGGCGGTTTTTGCTTATATTGTTTATCTTAACAAAAGAAAGGTCAAAGATTAATTATTAATTGGGACAGAACAGACCAGCCGAGTTCCAAACTCAATTGAGCCGATTAATTCATTATAACGGCCTTTTTTCTTTTTCCTTTTTTTTTTGTCTTGGAAAATTTTTCGACATTTAAATACAATGTTCACCCTGTTCTAAAAGGCCCAGGAGCCACAAAAGGTAGATTTTACAGAGTAAAAAAACATATTATGCGGATTGATGAGAAAGATTTGGTTTTCTAGACTTTTGATATTTCAAATTTTCTTTAAAATGTCATGGTTGTCTATTTTTAAAGAGCAATGGTTCGCAGGAAACCTCTTCTGATCCAAAATGATTGAAAAAATAAATATTTTTTTGAGTAATTCTGTTTATTCAAATATCTAGTCGTGAAGGCTAGAAAAATGCTAACCAAGAAAAAATTTTCGTCCGATCATAGTTTGAATGAACATTTGGAAATGTTTGACTTCAGGGTCGATGGAAATTCGCGCGTTTTCTACAGCGCATTTTTACTCCCTTATTCCTGCGTCCAATACAAACAGAACGAAATTCGAGATCGAGTCGCAATTGAGATTTCGACGCAATATCGATGATTGAAAGTTTTAATTTTGAGAGAGGAGACGCGACAAATAATCCTTGTAGATTTGTCTCCGTTAACTGAAATGGACTCCGTCCCAAGGCATACACAACTATATATATATATAAACGACAACTTATTTGGACTTTAGCAGGGATGTAAACAAAAAGCAATAGGACAAGATCAACCATCATAAAGACTGAAAAATGAATTGACCAAATCCAAACTGTTTTCCTAAGGTTGATGGACACGATTATTCGGCCTTTTTTTTTTTTTTTTTTTTTTACAGTGATGTTCAAACTGTTCAAAAACCCAGTTTTTAATCAGGTGAGATGATTAATTGAATAAAATTTCATATAAACAATTGATTGGGAATGAACTGGTTATCATTCTGAATGTAAAAATTAAAGAAAAAGTGATCAAGACAAAAATCCTTCCTGGTTCATTATCAAAAAACAAAAATTTTCGCTGAAATCAATTGAAAAATGTGAAATCGACCAAATATAAAACAAAATATAAAATTATTCCACACACACAAAACAGCCTGGTTTTATAATAAGTTTAACTCGCTATGAGTTGTCCCCCTTTCATCCTGGAAACAAAAATGTTTCGTCCGAATATTTTCAAATTGATTTCATACAAAAAAGGCTTTCCACTGTTTTTTCATGATGACGGTCGTCTTCGAGTATAGAATCCAGAGTTTAGTAAGTGAATATTTTCCTGTGAGTAGGGAAAAATTGTTCAGGTTAGCAGTGGATATTTTGGTAAAAGTAGCAGATATAAGTTCAGTAGTTCTTCCTTCTGTTCTTTCGCCTGACAAGATGGCACTGGACATTCGGATAGAGTCCAAACAAAATGGCCGCCTTTATACACGACGGATTGAATATTTTACGTCTTCTGATTGGTTAACCTTCTATTGGTGGACTATAAAATTTGAGTCAACTCATTTTGACTTGCTCACTAGTAGTACATATTACAAAAAAAAAAAATATCATTATTAATATCAGTTGAGAGAAAGATGGCTTCTTTGGAATTATAATTTATGGCCGTTAAGGACGCGTCAAATTTGGGTTCCTGTCGAGTATCCTTTTTACAATATGGGCAGCTTGCAAGTTGGCAATTGGTCAACTAATAAAGGAATTTTTGAAAACGCAAGTTGGATTTAATCAAAAAAATATGAACCAGGTTGCAGAACACTGGAATTTTAAATTATTAA